TCATGAATGACATAAGCTCCATCATACTTTGTTGGAGGGTAAGCATCATAGTTTCCGTTTTGCTGTGTGGGTGTTCTGAGGCCTGTTGAGCGCTTTGAGAGTTAGGCTGAATTGGGATTTCCCTTCCAGATCGTAGAGCATCGGCATAGGAGAAGCCGTTGGTGGTGTTTAGTGGACCGAATGAGGATCTCGCAGCTTTGGCGAAGAAGACGTCTGGCTTGACGCATGCGACTCTTTAACTCCTTATACTCCATACATCCTCTATAGTTTGCCGTATGGCTGCCTCCGCAGCTTCCACATTTCTTCACGGTACTGTCCTTGTTTGTAGTGCAGCAAGCGGACTTGTGGGCGTCACCGCAGACTACACAGACAGCCCGAAGTGTGCAGTAAGATCTTGTGTGTCCATACTCTTGACAGTTAGTGCATTGCACTGGACCGTTGCGTTTATGTGGCTCTTCAACAGTGATTTTCCGATGCAAAAGATATTGCAGGTTGTAGGTTGGGTGCACTTCGTTCTTCTTCAGCGACCTGCTTTCTGGCTCGAGCTCGACCTTGAAGAGGGGTTGTGGCTTTTTATCTTTATTTAGAATGTTAATAACATCCTTGGCGGCGAAGCCCTTTTCTTAAAGGGCGGTTTTTATTTCCGCGGCGGTAACATCAGGTTCTATTCCCTTTACTACCACTTGTAGGCCCTTACTGCTTTTCAGCTGGTACGTGTAATAGTTTTTCTGTACAGTGTCCAGATATTTGGACACGATTCGGAAGTGCTCTTCAGTCTTGGTTTGTACCTTTGTTTCATGGATGTTCCCTTTGATAAGCGGAACAACATGAAAGTTGTCACCGTTCCCGATCAACGACGCAATTTTGTGGACCAGGGCACTCGAGCTTTTTTCCGTAATATAGATTGGAGGGGGCTTGGGTTTTTTTGCGGTGTCTTGGGCTGGTTGGTTTTCCTCAACCTCCGCCAGTAGGGCAAATCTGTTAGTAGTGGATCTGTCTGGTTCTTTATCGATATTCAGGACACGGTAAATTTTTGTTTTATTGCCTGCCGGATTACTCTGCGGGCTAAGCTTGCGCTTAATTTGGATGTAGCGATCCATTCCAGTCTGTGTGGCCGTTGCCGCTTTGGCACTTTCCGAAGTTGTTGTTTTTGTACTCGCTGTAGTCGTTGACGTCGCGGTACTTTGAGTTGCAGAGGTTTTCGCTGTTGTTGCAGAGATTGTAGCGCTGCTAGTTTCTGGTGCGAAATTTGTTTCCGATATTGGAGGAGGGGTTTTACACTGCTAACTCCATGACGCGGGAGTCGGAGTGAGCAGAGCGGGTGAGCAAGACCATGCCCTTTGGGTTTCAGCGGTCAGAAAAGCCGGGTTGCTTATAATCGCCGATTTTTCCACTTCGGTATCGCGGGTTGAAAAGTAAGAGTAGAGTCAATTCAATCGTGAAGCGTTTCTCGTTGAGCTCAGACTAAGTTTGCTCGGCGCAAAATAGAACAAAAATTCGTCTCAAAAGCTCCATAAAAGATATCAACTGATTTAAAGCAAAATGTGTGACGAAGAAGTTGCTGCTCTGGTTGTCGACAATGGATCCGGCATGTGCAAGGCTGGTTTCGCTGGAGACGACTCTCCTCGCGTCGTCTTTCCGTCGATTGTTGGCCGTCCACGTCACCAGGGTGTGATGGTCGGCATGGGCCAGAAGGACTCCACAGGACTCCTGTGGGCGATGAGGCCCAGAGCAAGCGTGGTATCCTTACGCTGAAGTATCCCATTGAGCATGGCACCGTTACCAACTGGGATGACATGGAGAAGATCTGGCACCACACTTTCTACAACGAGCTGCGCGTTGCCCCCGAGGAGCATCCAGTCTTGCTCACTGAAGCTCCTCTTAACCCCAAGGCGAATCGCGAGAAAATGACTCAGATCATGTTTGAGACTTTCAACACTCCAGCCATGTACGTGGCTATCCAGGCTGTGCTGTCATTGTACGCCTCTGGTCGTACTACCGGTATCGTTTTGGATTCCGGTGACGGTGTCTCTCACACCGTTCCAATTTACGAGGGCTACGCCCTTCCACACGCCATTCTTCGTCTTGACTTGGCCGGCCGCGACTTGACCGATTACCTCATGAAAATCCTGAATGAGCGCGGATACTCATTCACCACTCCCGCTGAGCGTGAAATCGTCCGTGATATTAAGGAGAAGCTCTGCTATGTCGCTTTGGATTTCGAACAGGAGATGGCCACTGCTGCCTCTAGCTCATCGCTGGAGAAATCCTACGAAGTTCCCGACGGCCAAGTCATCACTATCGGAAACGAGCGTTTTCGCTGCCCAGAGTCGCTCTTCCAGCCCTCTTTCTTGGGTATGGAGGCCAGCGGCATCCACGAGACCACATACAACTCGATCATGAAGTGCGATGTCGACGTCCGTAAGGATCTGTATGCCAACACTGTGTTGTCTGGCGGCACCACCATGTACCCTGGCATTGCCGACCGTATGCAGAAGGAAATCACAGCACTGGCTCCGTCCACCATGAAGATCAAGATTGTGGCTCCTCCCGAGCGCAAGTACTCTGTCTGGATCGGCGGCTCATTCCTGGCTTCTCTATCTACTTTACAGCAGATGTAGATTTCGAAGTACGACGAGTCCGGCCCCTCCATCGTCCACCGCAAGTGCTTCTAAGCAGCAGCATAGCCTGTTGCTGAGCGGGGCGTGGTACGGTGGATGGAGAGGATGTCGGCGCCTTTGTCTGAGCTGTGCCACTCCACACCAGCACCCAACGAACACACCCACGCAGACGAGAGCACGAGTATTCGGCATGAGTACATTAATGTTAGGAGCAGGCGCAAAACGCACCGGCTTCTTCTGGAAGGATGCATTCCATAACATTTTGATACCTAAATTTAATCTTAAGCATTTAATCAGCAAGCCAGTATTGTTGCATTTCGAAATTCAAGTTATCTGCAATTGGCATATTAAATTGATTCCCATTTGGCATTCACATTAACTTCATGCATTCCCCGTATGTATTAATATACCATAAATACTTGTAACCGCTTCTTAATAAAACGGATCCCGGAACGGCCGGGATCGGCCGACTATATCCTATAGCTGCCATATAACTGATTGATCGGAAATGGTATAACTTTTGTGCTTTTAGAGTTAGAGAGATCATATTTGACATAAGAGCCCAACTTTCCAAGCCCAACATCATATTCTCATAAGGATCGTCCAACTATACCCGATGTTTGCGATATATATCTGTTTTAACTGCAAGGGTATATCAACTTCGGCTCCGCCCGAAGTTAGCTTTCCTTTCTTGTTTTTTTTTAACAATGCACTAGTTTGGGTTTAGCACATCACAACTGTTATAAAAAGCTTGTCTGTCGCTTTTAGTAAATTGTAGTTCAGCGTCTTTTCGCTTATATTGGGTTACCCCAGTTTTTTGTACTGTATTAGCTGTATTATGGTGCAGTTTTCCCGGAGCTCGGACAAAGCACGTCCGCTCAGTTCGGTAGTTCGATTTGTACTCGATTTGTAAAATACAATTCAAATTAAAAACAACTTCAAAATAATTTCAAATCCAATCAAATATGACGAATCCGTTAACAAATATTGAAATATTGTAACACTGTATTACAGTCGAGTCCCGATAATTCGAAATGGCAAGGGGATCACTTTTTTTTACGAATTAGACGGGAATTCCATTTATCGAGATTTCTATTTAACGGGGCTCAAAAATGAAAGAGTCGAATAAACGGGGTTTTTACATTTCACATCATGTTTACATATGTATTTAATTTTATTAAAATGAAACAAACATTATAAGTATGTATATTCATTTGTACGTTTTTCAAATGAGGGGAAAATTAAACAATAACATAAAATTTTAATAATACAAAATTAAAAAAATAAGCAGAAACATTAAATTATAAAAAAACAAAAATTCAAGCTTTAAAATAATTGGTAATTTTTGGTAACAACAATTGGTAACAGAAATCTAACCGAAAACAGTGAGAAACAAAAAATTCATAATGCATAGCGACATAAAGGCGGCATAGCTGTCTGCAAAATCTAACGGTGTTTTAACTACAAAAAATGTCGCATCGCATTACGATTTATAAGAGGTTACGAAACAAAATTACGATTTATAAGAGGTTCAATGTTCTTTGCGTTGCGCAAAATACTAATAATAAACGAGGGGACCAAAATGTATGGAATTTTTACGAATTAACGAGTTTTTTTTAAGGGCACAGCATTTTTTACGAATTATCACGATTTTCGATTTAGCGAGGTACGAATTATCGGGATTCGACTGTATATTGCATTGGTCGGCACCCCAATACATTGATATGACTTTAACACATTAGTATTTGTAAGGAATAGCAGAAAGTAGGCTGTGAGCATGACGTTTTACACATTTATACTGTGTGTGTGGCAGAGCTCGGGCAGAGAAATTTCCTATGCCCTTGGGATAGGGCCGTGCCGACCACTGGTATATTGTATTGTATTGTAAAAAAGTCTTGTATTGTATTTGAAATATTTGTAACACCCTCAAAACCTTAATTTATTTAGAAAAACCCGCTTTAGGGACTTTTTTGCGCTTAAAAATTTCTATACGCGTAATTTTATCGCGTAAAATAAAATAATAAACAATTATATTCCACCTGATAAACAATTCCTACTATGTCACTTTAAAGGTTCCAAATCTATGTTGCACTGTGTAATGTTTAATTTTTTTTTTGTTTTAGGACCACTGATGCGGAAAAGTGTACAGACTAAAAAGATATTTGTCCTTTGTGCTTCAGATTTTATTACGGACTCTACGACTTCCACCAAAAACATCCCGTAACGAAATGGCCTCCCTTAATAAAATGATCGGCCACAGGACAGGTGTCGTTGCAATACAGGCTCTCTACATAAAAACGTACATAATGGATTTATTTCTTTATAGTACATAATACAATATATACAATGTATGTAACTTTTTTGTAAAAAAAAATGTAATTTTTCCAGATTAAAAATGTATTTAAAAAAGAATTACAAATTTATGTATATTTTAGTTAAGTGTTTAAGACAAAAGTAGTTTTTTAGATATATTTTTCCTTTTTTAGCAGGCTCTTTTTAAGTTTCTAACTAAGATTGATTAAATAATGACATTTTTTAATTTTATTTTATACTTATTACTTAAAATTATTACTTGTTACTTATTACTTGTTTTTAAAGAATATATTTTTTCAAACTTTCATTTATACTAAAATGTGATTTGTACGCAAAACTAAATTGTAGCCATTTAACTTTTACAAATATTATTTTATTATTAAATACAATGTAAAAATCCATTTTATTCACGCGTAATCCTCATCACTCGTTTCATCTTCGGATGACTCCATTTTTTTTCGCTTATTTTTACATCGAACTAAATGTGCTTTACGGCCAGTGGATTTTTTTGTTAAAACAGATGATTTTACGCTATTTTCACCTTTAGCTTCCTAAAAGGATTACTTTTAATATGATATTTTTACTGCAATGCAAAGAACTTACAATCTCCTCTCCAGAAACGGTCAAAAATTTAATGTTGTTTATGTTATTCATATTTAAAGATGAAACAACGGCACTTTCCTCATTTTGGACCTTTTTTTGTGATTTAGCTTGAGATGAACTTTCTCCAAAAAATGTACTATTAATAGATTTTTCGGGTGAATCATCCAAATCAGATTCTGCTTCTTCTGGATCAAGTTTTAACATAAGCTGCTTAAACTAAAATAAAAAAGGTAAGGATATTTATAATATATTCTAAACATGTTAAACTTACATCGAGGTACTTTACGACGAGGTCTAGCTTTTCTGCACCGGTTAGACCCGGAGGTGGAAAATTTTGCTCTGTGCTTATAATTTGTTGAGACATTTGTTTTTTTATTACATCAATGGTCGTTTTGGGATTAAAATCAGCAACACTTCTTCGTGTTACGGCTTTTTCATAAATCTTTTGTTCAGACGGAGAATATCTTGAAATTTTACTGTCTGTAAGACCATACATTTCCTTTAAATGATCCTTCAATATTAACAGTAACATACATGCTTGCGCAGATGTTATACACATTTTTATTTCAGTCATGTCATCGGGGAGGCGATTAAAGAGAAGCTGTGGGTCTTCTACATCATCGTCATCCTCTAATACATCTCCCTGCTTGTCAGTTGGCATTAAGTGTTCTCTAAATGTAGCTAATAAATGCGTTCCCGCCATTGAAATAAGAAGATCAATTTGATGAATAAGGTACAAAGGTTCGTCCTGCACCATATAGGGAAAATATGCTAAATTATCAGCAATATAAAGCATTTGTTGTAGAGATGTTTTTTGATCATCAAATTGTTTTGTCACCGTTTGTACCAATGCTCTCCTTTGTGGTTTGGTGGTCCGAAGTAAGGTATAAAGAAAATCATTCTGTGCAGTTGTGACATGATCTTGTCCCCGTTTTCTTAAAAAAAAAAAATTAATTTTAACATTTTGTCAGATTTTTTTTACTTACGTGTACCCGCGAATAATTTCTGACTTTCCCTTGGTGTTTATTTGTAATATTTGCTGAAGTTTAAAACACAATTGTAACCCCAATTGCACTTTCATATTTACGAATCCCGAATATGTTTTGTCTATGTCTTTCAATAATGCATCGGCTCGATGGGCTGACTATTAATATATATTACTATTAGATATATTGAAAATATTTTAAATATCTTTACAAACCTCCAGTTTGGGGTCAGTGCTTAGGCAAATTAAATATGGAACCATTCTAACAGGATGTACTAGTCCCTGCCTAAGAACAATTTGTATTACTTTAACTGCCCATAAACGCACTGCATCATCCCGATTTAAAAAGCATTCAAGGATTTCTTCTAAATAAAGTTGAATGATTCTGCTTGCCATTCCAGATGAAACATCGTTCATTTCTTTAAGATCTTCGTGTTTTGACTGCTTCTCCCCTAAAAATTTAGATATTTAATTGGGTTGCGTTTTTTTTTTATACTTACATTCTTTTTCTTTGTTGTGCATAAACATTTCTGATTCTGTTAAATATATCCAAATATTTCGCATGCAAATAATTTTGAATCCAGAATCATTTATGTTGGAACTTAATATATCACAGTACAATCTTTTAAGTTTAGGCCTTGTTAAATAGTCATCATTCAAAACACAAAAAGATCCCAATGAAATTAATGCTTGCTTGCGAATTTCTTGATTTCCACATATACAGAAAAACATTAAACATTCAAAAACATCATCACATATTGTCGGTGGAAGCCCATCATTTATTTCACCTACAAAAAAATTATTGAATTTATTTAAGTGGAATAAAATTTTACTTACCCAATGCCATTGGGGATTTGAAATCAAAGTATCGCATTAAAATTCCAATCGTAAATAGACTTCGTCGAAAACTGGGCGTGTAAATATTGTCAACATTATTCTTTTTTTGAACCACCTGACATCGAGCTAAATCCAGTACTCGATAAAATCTATTTAAATTATAACAATATGGTATAATAATTAATAGTTTTATTTCACTTCAAGTTATAATCTTATTTATTGTCCAATCAAAAACACCAAAATCTTGTCCATTATTTAGTTATCAAAACTACGAAAGGATCTATGAAAGGTAAAGTCTGTATCGCTGGAGGAGGCACATTACACAATTTTTTTTTCCTAAAAAGACAAGTTGTCTGGTATCCGAGGTTCGCGCGCTGGTATGCGATAGTGCAGTATAAATGTGATTGGTATATATTGAAAAATGCCTCCTAGAGACCACACTATTTAATATTATCCGGTTCTCATCTCTTCGACCCACACTTTAACTAACCTTTAAAGGTACGGATTCTCATCTATAAAACAATTGTTGCATAATTTTTTGCTCGAGGAAAATTCAGTAGAGAATTTATTTCTAGATATAAATTAACCCTAGTAATAGTTTGGCATATAACGTTTTTCAAAACACCCTCCCGTACTGGAGACTCTAACTCTAAAAACACCAAAGTTATACCATACTTTGGTATATTTAAAACGATTAGTCTCCTATCGATACTCTCCAAAATACTCGAGTGTTTTTGAGTAGAGCATTGCCAGTACTGGGCGAGGCTAGTCTGATCCCCAATCACCAGTTTGGCTTAAGGTGGTCCCACGGAGCCACGGAAAAATGCCACAGAGTGGTGCAGTATATCCTGGACGCCTTCGAAATCAAGAAGTACTGTCTGGCTGTAATGCTGCATGAGAAACAAGCCTTTGACCAGGTTTGGCACTCCGGTCTCCTGCTTAAATTGAAGACTAACCTGCCCAGACATTACTACCTCTTTCTGAAGTCGTTCCTGAAGGACCGCAAATTTGCGGTCAGATGCGGAGAGGCCCCTTCCGGACTCAGGGAGATCCACGCCGGAGTCCCCCAAGGCAGTGTGCAGGGCCCTTTATTATACAATGTCTACACGGCCGATCTCCCAGTTTTGCGGAGCCCCACGTAATGGCAGCCTCTAATGCGGACGATACCGCCTTCCTGACCGCTGCTGACAACGCTACAGAGGCAGCTGCTGTCATGCAGGAGCAACTAAATCTTCTCGACGATTGGCAGAGAAGGTGGAATATTCAAGTGAATAACGATAAATCCACCGCCATCACATTTTCTCTCCGCCGGGGAAATTGCCCACCGGTCCACCTCAACAGCTCCCCCAACACACAAGTAGAAAACCCAAGATACCTGGGCTTCACGCTAGGCAGGAGGCTTACTTGGAAGCCTCACCTAGTCAAAAAGCGAAAGCAGTGTGAAGTAAGATTGAAAGCGTACTATTGGGAATAGAACTATGGGGCACGGCCAGCAATACTAATATTCAGACTATCCAGACGTTTGAAAATAGAGCCCTCCGTATCGCCACTGGGGCCCACGTCTACCACGACAACCAGACAATCCACGAGGTGCTTGGCTTCCCATGGGTAAAGGAGGAGATCCAGAGAAGCAGCAGCAAGTACATCCAGTTAAATTAAGTTACACATAAGCCAAGTTTTCTGCCACAATATTTAATGGTTGTCCCTGTTGGACAGTTTTAAATAAAACCACACCAACAAAAAAAATAATAAAAAAAAAAATATTGAATTTTATATAATAATAAAAATATTAAAAACTAGCGACCCCGGCAAACGTTGTTTTGGCCTTTTTTGTTTTCTATAAGGGCTAGCTGTTTTTTCTTGATTTATTTTGGTTAATAAATGTTTTTCAGTATTTCAAGTACATCCAGTATTTTCACGTACAACAAAATTCCCCTCGCCAATATCTAACAGTTGTTTAGAGAAAGGATGGATCCTGAAGCATTTGATCGCGCATATTCTTGGTCAGTTCTTTTTCAACATTACGCCACAGTTGCGATGATTTTAAGCAAGCATTGAATTCATCAGCGTACGTTAACCGTGAACACCTGAAAGGAGTAACAAAGGGCCGTAAAATAGTTTATCATTGTTCCTTATATCCCTAAATGACCAATCCAATTCCCCAAGCGAATTTTTACGTTATATAGTGCATTCATCCAAAATATGGGCACTATGCCCATAGACGATTGTTTTTATGTTGCACACTGCATCTGGATTATTTTGAATGTTCAATGACAGCTTAAGTGCTGAATGAGCTGTTATGCCTCCATCTAATAAGGTTGCTGCAACGCCAGAAGATGCAATGGCCAATGCGTTGCCATTTTTTTTTAATCGTAACTCGGCAGGAAGAAGCGAAATAAGGAACGTTCACTTTGGAACTTTCACTTTGAATGTTCACAATAATCACTTTGGAATAAGCAGAATTTTCAACATCAGGCTCTTACTGGAATGCTAGTCAAAGAAATTGCCCAGATGTGAATCCTCGATAAACTTGTTGCCGTTGTTAGTTAATTCTTCTTCTAACTATTAATCTGTGCGCTTCTCTTCTTTGAAAAGGGGTCTTTGTTGATTATGTTCATCTCGTGCATCTTTCGATTGTGATTCACGTAACTGCGCCATGCTTTAACGCGCCTTTTCATTACCTTTGTAAATTTGTTCTCCTGATCTCATATTCTTCTATCTCGCGCAGCTCTAGAATTGACTTTTTGATGACTAAAATTGGCCCAATTTCGTTTTCTTGGCATTGGTGACTGTAGATAAGTAATCGGCGGACCCCTATTTCAGGGGCATATGACACACACATAAATGTACAATACGTTACGCTCACAGCCTACTTATTGTTATTCATTACTATAAAAGCAGCCATTTCGGAGGAGTATAATTCCCGTTGTCGAACGGGATAAAAAGTATCCTATGTCCGTCTCCTGGCTCTAAGCTACCTCCCTACCAATTTTCAGCCAAATCTGTTCTGCCGTTCTTGAGTTATAAGTGGTGTAACTAACACGACTTTCTTTTATATATATAGAAAGATGAAACAATACTTTTGTATAACTTCACAGTAGGTACATATATAAAATTTAAAGTTAAACAATGACTTCTAGAGTCATTGTTGAGTCATACTTGATCTAGAGCGAGTTAATGAGCTTGTGCTAAAAACATCACTGGTTAAGAAACATGCATTCTAACAAAGAAAAAATATTGCGGTACAATATTGATCTTGTACTTGCAATACAGATCAAATATACTGTATTTCATTCCGATAAAGAATATGAAGCATAAAAGCACAACGGAAATTTACTCGTACTTTTTGAGGCAGTCAATTTTTGTGCTTGTGCTCAGGCACCGCATGTTTTTTTGTCATTGTGTCTGCAGTGTTAAAACACTTGATGTAAACGCTTACAATGCGGTGTCTCTAACACGGCAAAAAGTGTGAGTATACTACTAGTGTCGAAAACAGCCACCGCTACACATCTCTACTGTGTACCATTTTAGCTTATTTTTTAGCTTTAGCTTATTTCAAGCTAGCATTTATTAAAATGAAATAGCTTCAAAAATACTTGAAATGCATATAGCTTAAAATCTGGCTTTTTTCAAATTTCATTTAGCTAATTTCGGCTTTAAAAAATTTATAACAAAACATGGAAGATTGTGCAGTTAACGACTTATATACGGGGTATGCCTTTGAGAAGGAAATCAAAGACGAAAAATATTTTGGTGAAAAATATAAAATCAGAAAAGATTGTAAAAGCTTCATCAAGGCTTTAATTATTTAACTAAGGGAGAGGTAAGCTTTAATTGGATTTTAATAAAATGATATGTATTAATCTGCAGCGTAAGTTCAGACTTCCTCATAACATTGAAGTTCTAAAAAAATTGATATTTTTGCCGTTGGCAATATGCTACATGCAAATAAAACGCCAGATAAAATTATTGCGTTGTTGGAACATTTTAAATATAACAAACAAGGAAAGCTAACTTGGGGCGGATCCGAAATTGATATACCCTTGCAGTTAAAACCGGATATATATCGCAAAAACCGGATATAGTTGGCCGATCCTTATGATTATATCATAATAAAACCAATTAATTACAATAAAAAATCTAAAAAAAAAAGTCCCAAGCTTCTATCTTCAAAAATACGAAAGTTTATATTTCTACCAAATACCGTTTCCGATCGTTCAGTAATATGGGAGCTATAAGATATAGTCGACCGATCGTTATGAAATTTGGCATGTCGTTATGCCAAAAGTAGCTCTTATGTAAAATTTGAACTCTCTTACTCCAAAAAAACCAAAGGTATACCATTTCCGATCAATCAGTTATATGGCAGCCATAGAATATAGTCGGCCGATTCGGGCCGTTCCGACTTATATATTGCGTGAAAAGGAAAGAAGGGTGTGACCAAAGTGTCAAGACGATAGCTTTAAAACTGAGAGACTAATTCGCGTAGAAACAGACAGACAGATGGACAGACGGACAGACGGACATGCTCATATTAACTCAGGAGGTCGGAGAGGGTCGGAGATATCTCCTTCACTGCGTTTCACACTTTTGGTCAAAATTATAATACCCTCTGCAATTTGGAAAAATCCATCTAATTAATTGGGAAAAAAAGGAACAGACTATAAAGTTTTGGTCAGAAGTTTTGATGTACAAGGATGCTGGCCAAAACAAAGCTTTCGAGCAACTGGCGTTATTGGCTTTGCATATACTTTCACTGCCATGGTCGATTGCTGCGGTTGAGAGGGTACTCAGCCAAATGAACATCGTAAAAACAAAGTTGCGCAAAAAATGTGTTTAAAAGCTTTAACGCAATATTAAGAATAAGGTTTGTTTTTTAAATTTTAAATTATTTAAAATATACTAAGTATTTTTTTTTTTTAAGTTATAGATGTGGACTGCGACGTCATGGCAAAAGTTGCCATGACTACCAACTTCCAACGAAATACCTCGCTTTGGTTTAATCATCCGCCAATTATATGGAATCTAAGGAATTGATGAAATTATTTCTTTACTTTACAGGGTGACAATAAATAACCCGGACAAACTTTGAAGCAATCTATTATAAATGTATTATGATGCAGCCCTTACATAAATGCATTTATCGATA